CAAATATATTGGTTTAATTGGAGCGGATGGAATTATGTAGACTACAACAACAAGGCGGTCAAAGGCAATCTCTAATGGTGCTTCGTTGTTCAAGCTTACCAAAATGATCAGAGCTGGAATAACTAACTCAAATAAAGAAGGGCCACTTGTCATGTATCATGTCCCACAGTTGATGGTGGTTGATGGTGGTACACCTAGCAGTTGGTGGTACACCTAGCAGTTGGTGATGGAAGGGTTAATGTAAGTCTTAGTTCTAAAGGGTTGAGTAATCTGTAAGTAACAGTTCATGGGTGAAAGCAATTAAGGCTGGAGGTATGCAAGAGATAGGTTGCAGCTGGGTGTTTCTGGATATAATGAGCTAGCCTTGGGACTGATCTTCTGGAGAAAAGTATTTCTCTTATTTTAGTGGTAGATGCTGCTGGTTTTCCCCCAGGTTTGTGGATTTCCAGTATCCTGACCTGTCTCCTGAACCTTTGGAATCCTGGAAACTTGAATCTTTGGACTGGCTTTTGACTATGGTATAGACCAGGGGTCCTCAAACTAAGGCCCAGGGATCGGATACGGCCCTCCAAGGTCATTTACCCGGCCCTCGCTCAGGGTCAACCTAAGTCTGAAACAACTTGAAAGCACACAGCAGCAACAACAATCCTATCTCATCAGCCAAAAGCAGGCCCTCTTTTCCCATTGAAATACTAATAAGTTTATATTTGTTAATGTTGTTCTTCATTTTAATCATTGTATTGTTTATAGGATATGTGCAATGTGAATAGGAATTCATTCATATATTTTTTTTTCAAATTATAATCCGGCCCTCCAACAGTTTGAGGGACTGTGACCTGGCCCTCTGTTTAAAAAGTTTGTGGACCCCTAGTATAGACTCTCGATCTCTGGACTCATTGAACTCTCAGCCTTTGACCACTGGAACCTTTGACTACAGTGAGCGTTTGCTATCAGTTTTTGTTTTATATTCTGTGGCTGAGTGATATCTTTATGTTTTATATTTTGGACTATTAAAAGAGCCAGAAAGTAAGTGCTGCTTTAATTAAACTGTTTGAAACAAACTGGGAGTTTGTTTGTTCATCTCTGCCTGAATAATGGCAGAGCCCTGGCATCGTGACACCACTTGAGCCCTCATACACATTTAAGTTTGATTTTATATTTTGTTTTTCCATTTCCTATTTTGCAAATGCACAAAGGTGGACTTGGGCCATCAGTTGCACATGTTACTTAACCAATTTATACATATTTCTTCAGGAATAATTATACACATGCTTTTTGAATTAGGCGTTCTGCATGTATGGTGAATTCCCATTGTTAGATTGAGATTACTTCTGAAGAATACGAAATCTGTGTTGTCGAAGGCTTTCATGTGTGGAATCATGGGTTGCTATGAGTTTTCCAGGCTGTAAGGCCATGTTCCAGAAGCATTCTCTCCTGATGTTTCACCCACATCTATGGCAGGCATCCTCAGATGTTGTGAGGTCTGTTGGAAACTAGGAAAGGGGGGTTTATATAGCTGTGGAATGTCCGGGTTGGGAGAAAGAACTCTTGTCTGTTGGAGGCAAGTGTGAATGTTACAATTGGTCATCTTGATTAGCACTGAATAGCCTTGCAGTTTCAAAGCTACCTGGGAGAATTCTTTGTTGGGAAATGTTGGGACCTGAATTTTGGCACATGTGGGCTAAAAGAAACCACAGAGAAAGGAGCTAGATAACTGTCAATATGAAATAAATGATATTTACATGCTCAGTGTTATGGACTGGTCTACCCTAAAGGGTTGGTGTAAAAGGCAAGAAAAACAGTCCCAGCTTGCAAAAGCTAAGGAGAAAGGTGGGTGGATCAAACAGGCAACCTCATAGCCAGAAGTGCAGTCTGACTGGCTGATGAAATAAAAGGGAAAAAAATCTTAGCCACTGGAGATAGGTGGAGTCAGAGGCAAAGAGAAGGCGCAAGGCAGCCGTTTTAAGTTCAGTTAGGAGTTTGGTGGGGAAGAAGACATACAGTAGTTTTGAAAGGGGGAAGAAGGGAGGAAGAGATTTGGGAACTATTTGTTTTATTAAAGATACCTCTTTAAGGATCTTTAATAGGCCTCTATAGTGATTAGAGTGCTGTGAGAGGAAGGGAGATTTCAAAGGTTTAAAAGATCCTGTTTGGATTTGTGTGTGTGGAACTTTGTTTTAAGAAACTCGAGGTAAAAGTACCATCTTCTATAGGAAGTAAAGCCTGACAAGTTATTTGGAAACCATTATGCATATTGATTGTTCAAAATAAACAACATATTCCTGTTTAATTCCAACTGAAGTCTTCGTGTGGCTTTTTTAACTTTCCAGTGAAGGAGGTGGCCTATTAAAATAACAAATTGGTGGCAGCAAAAGAAACCTTTAATAAATAATAGGCAGGAAAGGCAAAATATAAAGGACAGTGGTAGCTTCCCACTGATTGACCTTGTGTGTGTGAGGGTGTGTATGCTCTGATTCCCCACGGCCTTGCCTTTGGCCAAGCCTTGTCGTTTTGTCCTTTGTCCTCCATCTTTGTTGTTGTTGCAATTGGTGGCAGTTTGTGATACTCAGCAATTCTAGTATACACTTTAGCAAGGGGAAGAGAAGCTTGGCCCATAGCCACAATTAACAGGAGAGATATTGACTTCTTTATTACCTGCTAGAAAGAAATCTGCTCTTTTGTTCTGGGACTGTTTTAAAAAGGCTTAACAGACCTCTGAGCTACCAAATATTGTTGTGATCTGTCTCAAATGGTATTTTATAAAAAGATGTGGTACATGAATTCAGAACCATTCATAAGTGAGCATACACAAATGCATGCTGCAAATATTCCAAGTGAGGGCTGTGTGAGCATCACCACATAAAACCCCTCACAAAAGGCACATTCAGCTTGGAAACACACTGAGCTTCATATATTGCAAACATTTGACAGACTATTTGAAACAGGCTTCTCTAAATGTACTCCAGCCAAGTGCCACTTGTCCATGCAGAAATTCCAGCTGCTTTGTCCTTCAGCAGAGATCGGCTGTGTGATAGCACATGCCAGTTATTCACTCGAGCAACACAAAATAAAATGAGTCTCCATTATCAACAGTACAGATATTGACAAAACCATGCTACTCGTACAAGCTATCAAGACAAGATGGGAGATGGAAGGAAAAGTCAATAAACAACCTTCTGATACATATTATAGAAAGAGAATATGATGTATGCCTGAAAAAAGGCATAATTTCAAAACATTTATATTGATGCTTAGTACAAGAATCCTAAAGGAAAGGTGATAATGAAGAACAGTGATTTGGAGAACAGATGTGAGCAATACTCACATCTGCACCAGGATTGTGGCGCAGCTGGCTGAGTGTCAGCTGCATTGAGATCACTCTGACCAAAAGGTCATGAGTTCGAAGCCAGCCCGGGTTGGAGTGGGTTTCCAACCAATTGTGTAGCCCGTTGTCGACCTTTGCAACCCGAAAGACAGTTGTATTTGTCAAGTAGGAAAATAAGGTACCACCTTAAAGTGTGGGGAGGCTAAATTAACTAATTTATGAGGCCATAAAGACTTCAGCAAAAGCATGCGGGGAATGCGGAAGTACTTCATCAGTGTCACAGATGGACGATGAAAGCGACAGCTCCCCTGGCCAGAAAAAGTTAAATAGCCTCTGTGTATGTCTGTATATGTTGTATGTCAAAATTGCCATTGAATGTTTGCCATATATGTTTACACTGTAATCCGCCCTGAGTCCCCTGCGGGGTGAGAAGGCGGAATATAAAAGCTGTAAATAAATAAATAAATAAACTACGTAAAACATGGTGGTAAGAACCCCCAGTGGCGCAATGGGTTAAACCCTTGTGCCAGCAGATTGAAGACTGACAGGTCACAGGTTCGTAATCAGGGAGAATGTGGGTGAGTTCCCTCTGTCAGCTCCAGTTCCCCATGCGGGGAAATGAGAGAAGCCTCCCACAAGGATGGTAAAACATCAAAACATCCAGGCATCCCCTGAGCAATCCTTGCAGATGGCCAATTCTCTCACACCAGAAGCGACTTGTAGTTTCTCATATCGCTTCTGACACGAAAAAAATTAATAAATCCAAATAAATAATCTAAAGCAGTGTTTCTCAACCTTCCTAATGCCATGACCACCTTAATACACTTCCTCATGTTATGGTGACCCCCAACCATAAAATTAGTTTCGTTGCTACTTCATAACTCTCATTTTGCTACTGTTATGAAAAGTAATGTAAATATCTGATATGCAATATGTATTTTCATGCACTGGACCAAATTTGGCACAAATACCCGATACACCCAAATTTGAATACTGGTGGAATTGGGGGAGGGTATTGATTTTGTCATTTGGGAGTTGTAGTTGCTAGGATTTATAGTTCACCTACAATCAAAGAGCATTCTGAACTCCACCAACAATGGAATTGAACCAAACTTGGTGCAGAGAACTCCAGTGGCCAAGAGAAAATATTGGAAAGGTTTGGTGGGCATTGACCTTGAGTTTTGGAGTTGTAGTTCAACTACATCAAAAGAGCACTGTGGACTCAAATGGATGGATCTGGACCAAACTTGGAACAAACTCTCAACATGCCCAAATGTGAACCCTGATGGAATTTGAGGAAAATAGACCTTGACATTTGGGAGTTGTAGTTGCTGGGATTTATAGTTTACCTACAATCAAAGAGCATTCTGAACCCTACCAAAGATTAAATTGGGCCAAACTTCCCACACAGAAACTCCATGACTAACAGAAAATACTATGTCTTCTGATGGTCTTTGGCGACCCCTCTGACACCCCCTTGCGACCCCTCCAGGGGTCCCGACCCCCAGGTTGAGAAACACTGCTCTAAAGACACAATTCGTACAAATGAAAACCAGCTTTGAAATAATCAAGTCCACCACAGCATTAGCCATGTGCTCTGCATTTATGACAGCTTACACTGGAGGAACAATATAAAGGATTTGCAGCCATATGATCTTAATTACTTTGAACTCACTTTTGTGCTCCCTGAGACAACAGCTTTGTCCACGTTCACTGGTAGCTGCTCTTCAGTCTGGCAAACGCCCAGCGACCATTCCGCACAGCGGTGATGAGCCCAGCAGTGGCCTACCGCAAGATGACCAGCAAATAAATGGATTAGATCTACAGCTGTTACCAAAGACTACTTACTCGCTTCAGAGAAAGAAGACAACACAAGGCAACTTAAGATAAATAGACAGAATTAACAGGAGATATGCTCTCAATCTTTCTTTGTAAGAACTGCCAATCCCTGATTCCGTTTGCAGGAATTGATCGATGATCACTTATACCAAGGTAAAGAAATAAAACAGTCCTTCTCCAAGAAGCAGAAACCCATTATGTTTATATTAAATACTTCAGTATATTATACATTAAATATTTGGTTCTGTAGCTCAAAAATGGGTTACATTTCATTTTATTGCAGTCTCATTTTATTCTTCAAAAATACTATATTTTGTGTGTCTTTTTATTGTTTTCCCCGTTACCAACATTTCATAAACAGGTGTGGAAGGTTGTGTACCTAAAAAGTAGGCACATGCTTACATATATGTGTGTGTGTGTGTGTGTGTGCGTAGTGTATGTATATGTATATGTATGTTCATTTCAACCAACAGATGTCACTGGCAGGAAAATCAAGGCTTTTATGTTAAACAGCTGAATGCTGTAGTATTTTTAAAAATCAAATGATAGTAGTAGCACAATACAGAATGGTATGTATAATGTGGCAAAATAATCCAGAAATTTAAATGCATATGCTGCTGGTATAGAAGAATGTGGGCTATAAATTAATACTAAATTCTAGACATCTCTGTGCTTAATAGTGATCTCTGACAATAAAGAGTGCGAATTCACCATGTCTTAACAGCTTATAGTGCTGGTGACTTCCAATGGTTCTCAACCTTGTTTTGACCAGGGATCACTTGACCAGAGACCACTTTGACCAGGGATCACTTTCCAACATTAGTGCCAAAGCGGTTATGAATCGGTTTTTGGTCAACTTTAGATTTGGTTTGGTTATTTGGGGTGCTGATTCAGAATACTGCATTGGATAGACCACATCAACTCTAGTTTCTGATTCAGAACATATGCCATCCAGATTCGGTTTGGTTATTTGGGGTGCTGATTCAGAAAATTGCGTTGGATAGACCACATCAACACTAGTTTCTGATTCAGAACATATGCTATCCAGATTCGGTTTGGTTATTTGGGATGCTGATTCAGAAAATTGCATTGGATAGACCACATCAACTCTAGTTTCCGATTCAGAACATATGCTATCCAGATTCGGTTTGGTTATTTGGGGTGCTGATTCAGAATATTACATTGGATAGACCACATCAGCTCTAGTTTATGATCATAGAATCATAGAATCAAAGAGTTGGAAGAGATCTCATGGGCCATCCAGTCCAACCCCCTGCCAAGAAGCAGGAATATTGCATTCAAATCACCCCTGACAGATGGCCATCCAGCCTCTGTTTAAAAGCTTCCAAAGAGGCTGGATGGCCATCTGTCAGGGGTGATTTTATATGGAACATATGCCATCCAGCATCTGCTCATCCACAGAAAACCATATTTAATACTCTAGAGTGGATGTGGTCTATCCAATGCAATTTTCTGAATCAACACCCCAAATAACCCCAGGAACAGGCCTAAAAACAAAGACAACAAGAAAAAATATATTTTTGGCCTGTGTTATTATCTGTGAATTTTGTTAATGTTCAGCACTCTAAGAGGGGCTTATGAGCCCAGTCACACTTGTTGCAATAGTGTAGTAACAGTGAGGCCGTGGACCATATTTTAGTTTTCGCTGACCACCGGATGTTTATTTATTTATTACATTTATATCCTGCATTTCTTGACCCCGAAGGGGACTTAAGGCGGCTTATAACACAGGCAACAATTCAGTGCCTTAAAATATATACACAATTAAAATAAACATTAAAATTAAAATCAAACTTAGAATACATTAAAACATTTCAAAACATTACAGTTACTATTATAAATTGGGAATCACTGGAATAAACAGTACAGAGCTAGGAAGACCAGTGGTCATTTAAAGGCCTCTTTAGAGTGTCCTTTTGTGTACAGAAACAGTACAAAAATTCTTTACCATTAAATGCTCAGTGAAATATAATACTTAATAGGAGGTGCATGTTATTCAGTTAAAAAAATCCCAAAGCAGTACCCTACCTGTGGGCTCAAATAAGGCTTGGACATCAATGTCATCTGGTAAGCCAACCATTCTGAGTTCATCCCAGAACTTGACTATCTGATCATCAGGAGTAGTTTGCGTGCTTATACTTGTACAAGGTGTGGTACTCTGATGAGACTTCTCTCTGCATTGAAAATAAGATTTAGGCCGGTAAGTGCAATTATCAGGCCATAATGAACTATTTCAATATATTTTCAAGACGGTTTCAAGACGGCTAACAGTTTGTATGCGATTTCCAACTCATGATTTGATAATTCTCAATGCAAAATAAAATAAAGACTAAACAACTTCATCTGCTTTTGTGGGGTTTTTGTTTTGCAAAATATATAGTTATTTTATGAAAAGACGTTGAAGGACATATAATATATATTCACTTTTTCTGCTGTATGAAACAAATGTACAAATTCAAGTTGTGGATACGTTAAAAACAAAACTGGAATAGGTACTGAATCATAATGGAGGAGGAATTAAAATAGTAGTAGGGGTGTCCCGACAATTTTCTCTAACTAAATTCCATTTTAATTCAAATTTTACCCTCGGAAACTCTGTGCTGCGTACAGTATGAATCATTGTCTCATTCAGGTCAGGCTGAGAATGAATAATTGCTGTCAATTTAGTAATTAATTTGTATAAAAGAAATTTGCATTCATGCTTAAGGTCAAACAGCAGAAAGTAAAGGAAACTAGAGCTATATAAGTGAAAAATATCTCCAGAATTCGGAGTGTAATTATATCTTGCAGTCATTCAGATTGCCCTTAAAAACGATCCACCTTAAGTCCCATGAAAAGGCTGCTGTTCTTTGTTATTGTTTCATTTCCTCTTTACTGCTTCGCTCGACTGGCGGGAGTCCAGGATGAGCCACCAATCAGAAAAGTCCAGCACAACAATCGCTTTAGTACCTAAATTTGGATGTCAGCCAGCATGGCACTTGGGCAGGATTACATCACCATCCTCAAGGGACAGAGTTGGGTAGCTGCTCCAAGCGAAATTAATTCTGCACTTTCACATGGGCGACACAAGGCGCTACTAATCAGCCAGCCCAACAGAACCCAAAGAGCAGCAAAGGAGCCACTTAAGGAGCACGGGGTAAAAATGAAATATAATGGAAGTCTCAAAGACGCTTTAACAATCTAGTGCATGGGTTGTTGTAGGTTTTTTCGGGCTATATGGCCATTGTCTAGAGGCATTCTCTCCTGACGTTTTGCCTGCATCTATGGCAAGCATCCTCAGAGGTAGCGAGGTCTCTTGGAACTAGGAAAATTGGTTTATATATCTGTGGAATGACCAGGGTGGAACAAAGGACTCTTGTCTGCTGGAGCTAGGTGTGAATGTTTCCACTGACCACCCTGATTAGCATATAATGGCCTGACAGTGCCTAGAACAAACTTTTGTTGAGAGGTGATTAGATGTCCTTGTTTGTTTCCTCTCTGTTGCTTTTCTGTTGTAATTTTTGAGTTTTTTTTAATACTGGTAGCCAGATTTTCTTCATTTACATGGATCACTCTCACAACCACCATGTCAGACTCCACAAAGAAGCCACTGAAATCTACAAGCATGTGGACAATTTCAACAGAAAGGAGGAAACCATGAAAATGAACAAAATCTGGCTACCAATATTAAAAAAACTCAAAAAATACAACAGAAAAACAACAGAGAGGAAACAAACAAGGACATCTAATCACTTCTCAACAAAAGTTTGCTCTAGGCACTGTCAGGCCATTATATGCTAATCAAGGTGGTCAGTTGAAACATTCACACCTAGCTCCAGCAGACAAGAGTCCTTTGTCTCACCCTGTCATTCCACAGATATATAAACCCCTTTTCCTAGTTCCAACAGACCTCACTACCTCTGAGGATGCTTGCCATAGATGCAGGCGAAACGTCAGGAGAGAATGCCTCTATACTATGGCCATATAGCCTGAAAAAACCTACAACAACCCAGTGATTCCAGTCATGAAAGCCTTCGACAATACAATCTAGTGCATTACAGGCGGAGAAGCATAAAAAGAACTTCAACATTTTATACATATAATTACTTATTTCAATATAGAATAGCCAATCACACAACTTCTCAAAATATACCACTGATACAACTATAAGCAAACTAACCAGTATTGCTATCTACACGATCAGATGAATACAAAGGATACTACAATCACTTCATTGCAAGATACAGTTTATTTACAAGATACAGTTTATTTACAAAATATGTTCCTTTGGGCAAACAAGACTAAAGAGTTGAGAATAATACTAGTTGCTATTTATATAATACTAGCTTAGGAGCCCCCGGTGGCACAGTGGATTAAACTGCTGAGTTGCTGAACTTGCTGACCAAAAGGTTGCAGGTTTGAATTGGGATACGGCATGAGCTACCGCCGTTAGTCCCAACTTCTCCCAACCTAGCAGTTGAAAACATACAAATGTGAGTAGATCAATAGGTCTGGCGGGAAGGTTACGGTGCTCCATGTAGTCATGCTCACCACAAGACCGTGGAGGTGTCTATGGACAATGCCTGCTCTTCGGGATAGAAATGGAGATGAGCACCAACCTCCAAAGTTGGACACGACTGGACTTAATGTCAGGGGAAAACCTTTACCAAGCTTGTGTACCTAGCGTTGGCCAAATTATTTGAAAAAGTCATTTATTTACAAAATGCATAAGGTTGTGGGTGAACTACAACTCAAACCATGCCAGGGTAACCCCCCGAAACTCCATCCAGCAGTTGAAGTTTGCCATGTTGGGCAAGTTTACTCTAGATGCATCACTGGTAGGGTTCAATGTGATCTCTGGCTGCAGGATAAACTATAGCTCCCACCATGGTGGGTCAGTCCCCTCAAATCCACCCAGTTGGTTCACTTGGTCATAGTGGTTCTGTGTGCCAAGTTTGGTCCAGATCCATCATCGGTGGTGGTCACGGTGTCTCTGGATGTAAGTGAACTACAACTTCCAGAAATGAAGGTCAGTTCCTCCCAAACCCCTCCAGTATTTTCAGTTGGTTCTGTGTGCCAAGTGGTGTCCAGGGTAGTCTTTGATTGAAGGTGAACTATAAATCCCAGTACCTACAGCGGCTATAAATCAAGGTGAATTCCCTCCAAACCTCTCCAGTGTTTTTCTTTGGTCATTGGGGTTCTGTGTGTCGAATGTCATCCAGGTTCATTGTCAGTGGGGGTCCAGTGCTCCGACTTGATGCAGGGTGAATTACAACTTCCATCACGTGGAGTCAATCCCCCAAATCCCAATTGGTTCTGCTTTAGTCTTTTGTGCAGACACAGTTGAAAAGAGTTAGAAAGCGTTAAAGGAGAGGCAGTGGGAGGGATCATGCAAATTCCACACCAATGGAGAGAGTAAGAAACACTGGGATATCTGTGGTGGAGGAAACACGTAAAATCTAGGATGAAATTGTCCCCGAATGAAAGCATTCCTTGGGTGGTAGACAATATGGTGTTTGGGGAGGATATTGGCAGGGGTTGGGCTACATGTTCATGGCGCTCGCTATAACCTGAAATTTCATTGGATGGGGGGGTTTTTGGGGGGGTTCCTCGGCAACTATGGGTTAAAGCTGTCTGTGGAAGTGGGCACCCCAGCCACATACACACATAAATATTTTCACTATTATGTGTATAGAATAGAATTCGTATCTTGCACTTCTAAAAATGGAAGTGTTGCAATCTCAATCACCCCAAGGTATATACATAGATGGATGTCAGCCACATTCACGTGGTTTGATTTTGAATTGTTAGACAAAAGTCCAAAGATATCAAATAACTAATATTCTCCAACTTTTTTCACTACAAATATGTATAAAACAATTCAAACATCTATCAACAGATTTACTTCACAGTTAATTAATTCACAAATAAACAAAAGGTGAAATATTAAAAATATTTTGTTAAAAGTCAGAAAGACTTACTTCTTCTGTCCTCTTGGTTTGTGCAGGTCTGAGTTCTGCCTTGGAGTACTCTCACAAATGCCATCATGGCTGTCCCCAGTTTCACTCTTATTTAAAGGCTGGCTGTTCCACGGAGCAAGAAACCCTGGCGTCGGACAGTATTGTTTCAGTTCTCCTTGTCCTAATGAACTTCGCTCCCCACAGTAGCAAAAGACACAGAGCTGGTCACTGATAAAGAGGCAGAAAAGAGCAAGGGGATGTCAGGAACCACGCCAAAAAGATGTTATTTTATCAATTAAGAAAAAGACTAGATTTATTTCATCAATTAAAAAATTAAGAAAAAATTGTCAAGGCCAAGAGCTCAAACACTGTTTCCATCCAAAATATCTTGGTGTCACCTTAGATCGAACACTAACATTTAGGAAACACTGCATGACCACCAAGCACAAAGGAGCTGCACGCAACAACATCCTGTGGAAACTTACTGGCAGTGCATGGGGTGCAGACCCACAATTAGTAAGAGCATCAGCCCTTGCCTTGTTAGTCGACTGCTGAATATGTTTGGCATAAGTCTGTTCACATGAAGCAGGTGAACACAGCATTGAATGAAACATGCAGAATAATCACAGGATGTCTCAAACCTACACCTGTTGATAGACTCTATAAGCTAGCTGGCATTGCCCCCTCTGATCTGCGATGGGAAGTTGCTGCTAACTGTGAGAGAAATAATATTGAACTCTGTGAAAACCACCCATGGCTATCAGTCTCCTCCCAGTAGACTCAAATCAAGAAAAAGCTTCATGAGAACCACTGCTCCTCCAGCAACAGCAAGAGTATCCCTCTGGGCAGCTAAACCAGGAAATCCCAAATGGATGCCCCCCCCCCCCCCCCCAGAGGGTCTTCCTCCAGGGGCAAACCAAGAATGGGCAACTTGGAAGTCCCTGAACAGACTCAGAAGTGGAGTGGGGAGATCAAAAGACAACCTGGCAAAATGGCACTACCTAAAAGAATACCACCTTGCGCAACTGCGGAGCAGAACAAACAACTCCGCTCATGTATGCTTGTCCACAATGCCCTGCCTCATGTACAGAAGAAGAACTGTTTAAAGCTACAGACAATATGGTTGCTTTTGGTCAAAAATTATTTAGCCACTCGTGCTCATTCTATTTTTATAAGTTTTACACTCATGTATTCAATGCTTTTTATTTATTTGTTTATTTATATTTATTTATTTACTTCATTTCTACCCCACCTTTCAGGGGACTCAAGGTGGTTTACAACTCTAGTACATAGAATCAAAGAGTTGGCATGGGCCATCCAGTCCAATCCCCTGCCAAGAAGCAGGAATATTGCATTCAAATCACCCCTGACAGATGGCCATCCAGCCTCTGTTTAAAAGCTTCCAAAGAAGGAGCCTCCACCACACTCCGGGGCAGAGAGTTCCACTGCTGAACGGCTCTCACTGTCAGGAAGTTCTTCCTTATGTACAGATGGAATCTTCTCTCTTGTAGTTTGAAGCCATTGTTCCGTGTCCTAGTCTCCAAGGAAGCAGAAAACAAGCTTGCTCCCTCCTCCCTGTGGCTTCCTCTCACATATTTATACATGGCTATCATATCTCCTCACAGCCTTCTCTTTTTCAGGCTAAACATGCTCCTTAAGCCGCTCCTCATAGGGCTTGTTCTCCAGACCCTTGATCATTTTAGTCGCCCTCCTCTGGACACATTCCAGCTTGTCAATATCTCTCTTGAATTGTGGTGCCCAGAATTGGACACAATATTCCAGGTGTGGTCTAACCAAAGCAGAATAGAGTACAATTCAATACTGCAGTTGTAAACTGCAAAATCTACAGTAAAAACAATAACATACCCCCTCCATTAAAACAGTTAATAATTAGTCAATACACACATTAAAATAGTAAACAGATTAAAACATATAAAGTGCATAGTTCAATTTGTTCAAGATTCTTGTTCATAATCCATATTCAAACCGCGTTGAAGCCCGTAGTCACTTATTCTTAGAAAGCTTCTGTGCAAAGCCATGTCTCTAAAAAAATAGAAGGTATGAGGTCTGCCTGATGTCACTGGGGAGGAAGCTGCACAGCTGAGGGGCCACCACTGAGAAGGCTCTGTCTCTCATCCCCACCAATCGCACAAAGAGGGTAGGACCAAGAACAGAGCCTCCCCTGATGATCTTAAAGTTCTGATAGGCTCATACAAGGAGATACATTCAGACAGGTAAGTTGGACCAGAACTGTTTAGGACTTTATAGGCCAAGACCAACACTTTAAGTTGGGCTCGGTAGCAAATCGGCAGCCAGTGCAGCTCACACAACGGGGGAGTTGTGTGTTCCCTTACGCTGCTCCAGTTAGAAGTCTGGTTGCCATCCGTTTGACTTATTGAAGCTTCCGGACCGTCTTCAAAGGCAACCCCACATACAACGTGTTGCAGTAGTCTATGCGAGATATAACAAGAGCATGGACCACCGTGGCCAAGTCTGACGTGAAAAATAATTTAGAAACTTTAAAAAAAATTAAAAGGGCTTTGTTCACATATTCCTCACCAGTACACAAAACTCTGAAATAATTTTTCTCCAGTTGGCATGAAAGTTAGTGGAAAATAAGGGCTTTCTCTCAATTAGTATCAAGTTTTTAAAAATAGAACAATATTTAAAATGGGCCAAGAAGAAATGTCATCTATTAATCACGTCGTATTTCATTAAGATAAGAACAATTGGGCTATTATTACATTTAATTATCCTGTACCGCTCTAGGCACTGATAAATGGATTACATTTAATTCTACTTTAACTAAAATCCACAATTCCACTGACCGAGTTATTTGTGAATAAACTTTTGTAATTTGTAGAGCAGGCTTTGACGCTTACGCTTTAGGAGGATTAAACAACGGATGTTTTAAATAGCTGCACTCATTTACCTTCCTAAAGTGTTCGCTTTTATATAGAGAATATAGTAATCAAAGTCGATAAAAGGAAACAATGAACTCGGGAAAGACGGATTGGTCAAAAGACAACATGGCATAATAAGACGTTTCAAGCACGCATTTCTTTGAACGGAAAGACAATGCGGAAACTTCGCAGAACAATCACTAACTCCACCTGATCACATCACCATTACAGAAAATAAAGTCAGCTATTCTTTTTTGCTCTCCTGTAAATAAAGGGAGAGATATGGCAAAATGCCTAAGTGCTCAACCACTTTCAAAAACGTCTTCCATTTTTTCTGCACAGACAAAATACTCTCGAACAGCAAACCAAAGCTTCCATCGTAAGTGGTTTTGACCCCTCACAGAAGCAAAGTTAAATGTAATTGTTTTATATGAAAGGGACCAACTGATTAAATTCCAAAATAAATTATTCTATTGAAAGATAGGAAACAGTCTCAAGGACTTTACACATCCCACACCAACACTTGGATTCTTTGTTGTTAGGGAAAGCCTTGAAGTGAATGGTAGACTGCCGGATTTCAACGGAGAGGTATGAAAAGGATGCTCAGTAATGACATGCTTGCAACAAAGTGTAGCGTTTTAAGTCTTTTCCCGTGCAAAACTATAACACCTCAATGTATTGTCGAAGGCTTTCATGGCCGGAATCCATGGGTTGTTGTAGGTTTTTCTGGGCTATATGGCCATGTTCTGGAGGCAATTTTTCTCCTGACGTTTCGCCTGCATCCATGGCAAGCATCCTCAGAGGTAATGAGGTCTGTTGGAATTAGGAAAAATGGGTTTATATATCTGTGGAATGACCAGGGTGAGACAAAGGACTGGCTACCAGTATTGAAAAACTGGTATCTGGCTATCAGTATTGAAAAACAGGTATCTGGCTACCAGTATTGAAAAACTCAAAAATTACAGCAGCAAAACAACAGAGGGGAAACAAACAGGCACATGAAATCACTCTCAACAAAAGATTCCCCCAGGCGCTTCCAAGCCATTGAATGCAAATCAAGGTGATCAGCTGAAACATTCACAGCTAGCCCCAGCAAACAAAAGTCCTTTGTCTCACCCTGGTCATTCCACAGATATATAAGCCCATTTTTCCTACTTCCAACAGACCTCACTACCTCTGAGGATGCTTGCCATAGATGCAGGCGAAACGTCAGGAGAAAAATTGCCTCCAGAACATGGCCATATAGCCCGGAAAAACCTACAACAACCCATATAACACCTCAGCTGTCAATTCAGGCTGATATTTCAAAGCAGGATCTTTTGGAAAGGCACGACCTTTCAGAGAGCATAACCTTTTGGGAAACCAGGAATCCCCATAGCCTTTTGGAAACGTGACCCTTTTGGAGATTAATTGGCATTCACAGTATTTGGAAATAATCATAACCCTTCTGGAAAGTATGGTCTTCTTAAGAAGAGTTAAATACTCATTTGAGTGAATCCCTATGAGGAGCGGCTTAAGGAGCTGGGCATGTTTAGCTGAAGAAGAGAAGGCTGAGAGGAGATATGATAGCCATGTATAAATATGTGAGAGGAAGCCACAGGGAGGAGGGAGCAAGCTTGTTTTCTGCTTCCTTGGAGACTAGGATGCGGAACAATGGCTTCAAACTACAAGAGAGGAGATTCCATCTGAACATGAGGAAGAACTTCCTGACTGTGAGAGCCGTTCAGCAATGGAACTCTCTGCCCCGGAGTGTGGTGGAGGCTCCTTCTTTGGAAGCTTTTAAACAGAGGCTGGATGGCCATCTGTCAGGGTGATTTGAATGCAATGTTCCTGCTTCTTGGCAGGGGGTTGGACTGGATGGCCCATGAGGTCTCTTCCAACTCTTTGATTCTATGATTCTATGAATCTTCTCCCTCCAATCTCAGTAATAATAATAATAATAATAATAATAAAACTTTATTTGTACCCCGCTACCATCTCCCAAGGGACTCGGTGCGGCTTACATGAGGCCGAGCCCGCAATACAACACTAAACAATAACAGCAATAATACAAAAACAATACATAAGCTCATAAGCAATAAACATTAACAATAACACGACGCATTTAAAAAACCTATGGCTGGGCCAAATGTAATAATTAAAATTTTAAAACATAAATAAAACGTAACACAATAAAAATAAAAAACGTAACACAATAAAATAAAATCAAAATATCGAAATAAAATTAACACATCACAATAACACAACATAAAATCATAAAAGCAATCCCAAGGCTGAACAGTATTTATTACTGTTCAGCCTTGGGATTGCTTTTATGATGTTATGTTGTGTTATTGTGATGTGTTAATTTTATTTCAATATTTTTATTTTATTATATTTTATTTTATTGTGTTACGTTTTATTCTGCGCTTTTCGGACCTGTCCTTTGTAACCCACCCCAAGTCCCTTCAGGGAGATGGAAGTGAGATAGAAAAATAAAGTTATTATTATTTATTATTATTATTCTCCCTAGTGCCTTCTCTGTGGTGGCCCCTCGGCTGTGGAACTCCTTGCCTAGGGATATTAGATAAGCCCCCTCCCTCCTGACCAGATCTGATCATGTGTTCTGCAGTCCTTCCCACAACTCCAAACAACATAGAGTTAAGGGAAACTGCTGCATACCAAATCATACACATACAATACAGTAAACAATCTGAATTATATACATAACAGATAACTAGTACAGCAGGCTTGCAGAAAGTTAATATTTCCAAAAGGATCAGGATACAACATTTTCTGCACTTTTTGTTGAGGTCCCAGCTCTTCCCACAACACTAGCCCAATATTGGCATGTCTAACCTGGTTTTTGCTTCAACACCAACAGAGGCAACAGGGCTTGCGGGTTCCCCAGAAACTGAGCTCTGAAGAGTTTGTGTTAGCTTCTTATCACCATCCACTTCAGCTTGGGCTTCCTCCTCTGGAGACTGTTCCTTGATTTCTGTTTGAAAGAGAGAGTCATACGGTTACCTATTTCATTGTCAAGTGAAATGGCTGAAATAACACTAGTACTACATAGAACATATACATAATTGATATTTTAATTTATTTGTTTGCTTGTTTTTGTAATATCTTGTTTTTCAGAAGGAGGAACAAGCAGAAAAGCCCACTTACACAAGCCCACTTCTGTGAGATCACTGCAAAACTGAGTACTCATTACAGGATGTTAATAGGTACCATAACTAACAACACTTTTAAAGTAACTTATAAATAAACTATTTCAGATTACAATGGAGTCTGTATTGCGTGCAGCAACTGCTCTAGAGCCAAGAGATTAGGAATTGCTTGAAATGATACCCCCCCAACCATGTGTTATTTATTAATCAAGCTGCCGAATAAAATTAGTCAATTACTCAATATATTATTTTTTTTGTATGAAGATATTTATCCCATAGTAGCAAATTAAAATAAACTGGATCCCAATATAGGATTTTCGAGCTAGATTTTGGTCTCATCCAATCATAAAAGCAAGTAAGTAAAGGTAAATGTTTTCCCCTGACAATACGTCCAGTTGTGTCCGACTCTGGGGGTTGGTGCTCATTATTTCTAAGCTGAAAAGCTGGCATTGTCCACAGACACCTACAAGGCTATGTGGCCAGCATGACTGCATGGAGCGCCACTACCTTCCCGTAGATGCAGTACCTATTGATCTATTCACATTTGCATCTTTTCGAACTGCTAGGTTGGCAGACGCTGGGGCTAACAACAGGAGCTCACCCCACTACCCAGATTTGAACTGGTGACGTTTCGGTCAGCAAGTTCAGCAGCTCAGTGGTTTAACCCACTGGGAAAATAAGCTGAATTAAATTAGAAAACATTTACTAGTCCTCAACTTATCAAGGCAAATATATCATGAGTTGTTGTGAGTTTTCTGGGCTGTAGGGGCCATGTTCCAGAAGCATTCCTCCCTGATATTTCACCCACATCTATGGTAGGCATCCTCAGAGGTTGTGAGGTCTGTTGGAAACCAGGCAAGTCAGGTTTAGATATCTGTGGAATGTCCAGGGAGGCAGTGTTGCTCAAAAAACAATTGAATTACAGATAGGAAGCAATCAGGGCCAGACAACACCTCCCAACAAAGCATTCCCACAGGCAGGAAGCAGCCAGGCTTTGAACCTGCAAGGCCATTCAGTGCTAATCAAGGCAATTGCAACATTCACACTTGCCTCAAACAGACAAAGTTCATTCTCCCACCCTGGACATTCCAGAGATATATAAACCCCACTTGCCTAGTTTCCAACAGACCTCACACCTCTGAGGATGCCTGCTATAGATGTGGGTGAAATGTCAGGAGAAAATGCTTCGGGAACATGGCCACAGCCCGGAACTCACCAACAACCCAGCGATTCTGGTCATGAAATCCTTCGACAACATAAATATATCATATTTGTTACTTCAAAACATTATTTTTTGTTACTGTAATACTTCTAACCAATCAAATCCTTTGATAGGTTTACATTTTTTTTAAGTTCATCATTTATTTTTAGAATGAACAGTACTAATCAAACATATACAAAATTTAAAAAAAAAAATTAAAAAATACCCTAAAGCATGCTATCAATATAAAACAAAGTCTATTCATGGAAAAATCCTAAAATACACCAAAACACCCATCTGAAGATCTGATAGAATAAAAAGGGTCTGTGCCTAGCATTCAAAAGAGCACTACATGTGAGAAGGCACAACACAACAGAAGCACATCACAACTGACAGCTGGGAGGAGAGTCTCTGATAAAGATAACAAAGACTGGGTGGCTAAATGTGGAAAAGCGTGGTCTTTTAGATAACCTAGTCATGAGCCACTTAGGACTTTAAGATCTTTTAACCACAGCACTTTGAAGTAGGCCCAGAAATACACAATACAGAAGACAGAGAACCTGTGTTAATAAGAGCACACCCTTCTCAATTGTAGTAGGAACCTCACTATTCAATTTGGGGCCAGCAGAAAAGTTTCTGCTCACAAAGATCATCACACATTGCAGTCAGCCAAACAACATGCAACCTGAACAAGGCTTTCTCAATCCCGATGTGGGAACCTGCAGTGATGGTAGAGACCAATTTTTGATTGTTAGTATTCATATTTGGGTTGTTGTAGGTTTTTTCGGGCTATATGGCCATGGTCTAGAGGCATTCTCTCCTGACGTTTCGCCTGCATCTATGGCAAACATCCTCAGAGGTAGTGGGGTCTGTTGGAACTAGGAAAAAAGGTTTATATATCTGTGGAATGACCACAGGGAGGGGATTACTTGTGGCACATGCACAATTAGCACCACCCTCTAAAAAGATGGAAAGGAATTGTAAGGAAACACCAAAGCATTCTGAATACCACACATCTCAAGATATATTTATTTACAATATTTATACTTCACCCTTCTCACCCTGAAGGGGACTCAGAGCAGTTTTTACAAAATACACACATATGGCAAACATTCAATGCCAATTATAACACGTAACAAGGACAGACAACACAAACAGTGGTAAAGGAAGTTTTTCCGGCATCTTGGAGGCTGTGCTCAACTCCGGCCACAGGGGGTGCTCTTTCTCCATCCTCCATGCCGAGGAGCTTTTCTCCAATTGATCTATGTCTTTAAGGGCACCTTTATTACCTCCCCGCTAAAAGCTGTACCTATTTTATCTACTCACATTTCTGATTTTGACCTGGTAGGTGGGCAGGTGAGCTGGGGCTAATGCTGGGGGCTCACTCTGATATGGGCTCAAACTGCTGACCTTTCAATTGGCATGGTTTTTCTACAGCACAGAGGTTTAGCCTGCTGTGCTGAGCCCGGTCCTTTATAAATAATGCAATTAGTTGATTGTATTGTCGAAGGCTTTCATGGCCGGAATCACTAAGTTCTTGTGGGTCTTTTCGGGCTATATGGCCATGTTCTAGAGGCATTTCTCCTGACGTTTCGCCTGCATCTATGGCAAGCATCCTCAGAGGTGAGTAACTAAAATTGCCTTGCCATAGATGCAGGTCGAAACGTCAGGAGAAATGCCTCTAGAACATGGCCATTTGCCCGAAAAGACCCACAAGAACTTAGTAATTAGTTTATTCATCTTGAATACAATTAAATGTGTTGTTCCTCTCAATTTTACTTTAAGTCCAGACACTGTTTCAGAATTAGATGGAAAAGAGAATATACTAATCACATATTAGTAACTCCACTGCTTCTGCTTTGAATAACCTTTATGCACAGTTTTATGAGACTAAAAATGGAGATAAAACAACTCTGGAGAGTATAACCGACAAAGAGCAAAGCAATAATCTTCAGGGTCCCCTTCTACGTCCAACCATCCATATAGAAACATAAACTCCCCCAAGTCCAGACGAATACTACTACATAGAAGTACAATTTTATAAGGAATAAAAGGTAACTCTGTGGACTCTGACAGCATTACTGCCACAGGACAGAACCATATTCCGTCAAAAGTACTTTTAGATCAATAATCCATTGCAGTGCAGTTCCTCCGACCTTGATCTCACACAAATTATATTTTGTTTGAAGGTAGAAAAAACCAAAGAGAGATCGAAAAGAATTCAAGAGGATTGTTTGTCCAGCACTCCTACAGCAATAACCCATCCACACAGGGTGATTAATACAGATTTTGTTCTAAAAACCAATCTAAACTCTGACTGAAATGGATCTAGAAAACTAGATCCAATTGGAACTGATTTGGATCCTGGGAACAGGTTGCCAACTGCCCTTTCAAGGAAGGAAAATGTTGGCTGAAAGATTACAATGGTCTTCTGAGTAAAGATCAGATTTCTGGAAAAAAAACAGTCCTTTAATGAGACTAGGATGATTCCTCCCAAAAAAATATGTGTCTCTTGGACCCAGTCAGATATCCATTCTCTTAATTTACTTGATATCTAAGAGGGTAAGGGTTCCAACTCATAGATGGTCAGCTGACACTGTCCAAACTTCTTGCCTGCACTCTCAATAACTAGATTAGTTCAATAGAAGTTATGAGGGATGTGAGAATGCTTTTTTTCTCCAAACCATATCTTACTCTGGGCCTGATTGTAAGAGGCCTATATTAACCAGGGTCAACTCCACTGGACAACACTGAAGGCCCTTCACACAGCCCTATATCTCAGAATATCAAGGCAGAAAATCCCACATTACCTGAGTGTGGACTCAGATAGCCCAAGTTCACAGCAGATAACGTGGGATTTTCAGCGTTGATATTCTGGGATATAGGACTGTGTGGAAGGGCTCTGAGAAGATAGTACAGTGTTTCCTCGCTATTTCGCGGTTCGCTTTTAGCGGACTCACTGTTTTGCGGGTTTTTGAAAATATTAATTAAAAACCAAAAATATAAAATATTTACATCCAGTGGAGCTCAGGGACCTTGGAAGTGCGGCGGCCTTCCCCACCTGCCTCAGAAGGCCTGCATGGCTCCGAAGACTCTGCTGGGGTCTGCGGAGGCCGGGGAGGCAGGCAGGCGCCCTTGGGATGGGCCAGGAGGTGTATAAGGAAGTGCGGGCAAGAAAATAATATATAATATATATATAAAATAATGTATAAATATTAAAATTAATAAGGCATCCCTACTTTGTGGATTTTCACTTAGGATGGGCCAGGAGGTGTGTAAGGAAGCACGGGCAAGAAAATAATATAATATATATATATAAAATAATGTATAAATATTAAAATTAATATGGCATCCCTACTTTGCGCATTTTCACTTACCGCGGGTGGTCCTGGAACGGAACCCCCACGATAAGTGAGGGAACACTGCACTGGGAGAATGAAGTAGAGGAGAAGAACTGTTTCAACACTTTTTATTGATCTTTGAAAGAAATCCATCAGTATTAGGCTTGTGCATTTTGAATGAATCACTATCTGTTTCTGCTTGCCAGATACTGGAAGCCCCCCTTATTCATTTTCCAGCACCTCCCGGGTGTGCTACCGAATGGGCATTTTCTTTCAGCATCAAGAAAAAAACAGCTCTATTCAGCCCATTGGTGACAATGGGGAACCTAGGATGCTCTCCTTTCCCCTGGAAGCCTTTCCTTTCTTCCTTCAAGGGAGCCTGGGTGTCAGCAACAGGGTTGAGAAAGCACCCTCTTCCAGCCCATTATGGGGGGGGGGGCTTCCCACAGGCTCTCCTTCCCTATCCATTAAGACCTGGATTTAAAAAAGTTGCCACTCTTAAGTTTCTAGATCTTTCCCTTCTATTTGTAGAGGAGGAGACTGGATTTACTGCTTCTTAAAGCTGTTCTACTCTAGAGGAGAGACAGACTTGGCGTGCTTTCTTCTCTCCCAACACCAGCAGCTTTCCAAGGCATTTTAAGGAAGCCCAAGGAAAGAAGAGTGGTGACCTGAAGCTCAGTCATTTATCTTCCCTGGTCTACCTTAAAAATCCCCTCACTTGCCTGCAAGGCTGCAATCTCCTTTCTGCCTGGGGTTTTGCTTCCTTAAAGCTGTTTCTACTTTCTGCTCTAGAGGAGAGGTAGGCTTCTCTTTTTGTTTGCTGAGATTACTATTATTAATAATAATCTTTTAGAAGTATTTACTGTTACTGTTTATTGTTTACTTTGCTTAACTGTTTTTAATTTGCTTTATGTATTGTATTGTTGTATTGTGTTCTGAGGCTTCGGCCTGTGTAAGCCGCATCGAATCCTTCGGGAGATGCTAGCGGGATACAAATAAAGTTATAATAATAATATAATAATATTTCCCAAAGAAGAGGAAGGGAAGGAGAAAAAGAAGCGAAAAGGGTGAAACCCCCAAACTCTCACGCATGCACCCCACCTAACTTCCCTCAGGTCCTCAACTCCCAGTCAGTCCCACTAAATAAAAAGAATCAGGAAAATAAAGGAAAATAAAAAAATTGTGCTGCCAAATAGGGAGGAGGAACCAAGATCGGCTCCTGCTTGCTTTTGTGTCAGGTGAGTTTTCGTACTGGAAGGGGCCTTACTGCTACGAGCTCCCAAAGTACCGAAGGTACCAAAGGAAATGAAGGAAATAAAGGAAACAATATCCACGCAGAACTCTATCAGCTATCAATGTAACTTTTGCTTTACTGAAAAATATAGAATATCCTATTATTTTCCATTAAGTGAGCAATAACAACAACAGCAAAGCTCAATACAAAAATGGTTTGCGGGATCATTCCATCCAGTGCATGTACTTAAAATATGTCCATCGCGAAATACAGAGGCATTTCACTTGGATATAATGTGGGTTTAGCAGCTTATTCATCCTCTGATTATCTTTTTTTTTTTTTAAGTTTGTTGAAGATATTTAAGAATTTTTCTCTAAAATGACACTTTAAAGCACAGTATGTATGAAATTTCTTGAGAAGTGTCACATATACTCAAGAGGAAACATCACTGTGATGTACGCTTTACCAGTTTCCACAGTGTTTTCTGTTTCTGCTGCTTCCAGCCCATCCATGCTATCTTCATCCTCCACTGCAGATTTTCCTCTACTTCGAGGCCTGTGAAATACAAGAATGGGAATGTTAATAACATAGTGGAAAGTGCCCAAAACTGTCAATCACACTTTTACTAAAGTGTTAAACAAAACAATATTAGTTGGAGTGTGAAAGTGTTAAAAGCCAAAGTTTGTGGGAGTGTTTTTAATGCTGAGAATGGAATATATTACAAGACTGAGGCATGCTATTTCTCTCCTCCTCATTTGATTGTACCAAACTAATGTTTCTGAACTAGTAGGTGTAGTGTGAGATCTAAAGACACAGTATATTAGAAACCTCAACCATTTCCCACTCCTTATTTAAACTTTTTCAATTACAAACAAGATCAATCTACCACCAAATTTTTGAAAATTATTTTAATACAAATTCCTATGAAAGACTACATGGGGTTCTTGTGGGTTTTTTCGGGCTATAGGGTCATGTTCTAGAGGCATTTCTCCTGACTTTTCACCTGCATCTATGGCAAGCATCCTCAGAGGTAGTGAGGTCTGTTGGAACTAGGACAAAGGTTTATATATCTGTGGAAAGACCAGGGTGGGCAAAGAGCTCTTCTCTGCTGGAGCTAGGTGTGAATGTTTCAACTGACCACCTTCATTAGCATTTGAAGGCCTGGCTGAGCCTGGGAAAATCTTTTGTTGAGAGGTGTTAAGATGTGCCTGGTTGTTTCCTCTCTGTTGTTTTGCTGTTGTAATTTTAGAGTTTTTTTAATACTGGTAGCCAGATTTTGTTCATTTTCATGGTCTCTTCCTTTCTGTTGAAATTGTCCACATGCTTGTGGATTTCACTGGCTTCTCTGTGTAGTCTGACATGGTGGTTGTTGGTGTGGTCCAGCATTTCTGTGTTCTCAAATAATATGCTGTGTCCAGGCTGGTTCATCAGGTGCTCTGCTATGGCTGATTTCTCTGGTTGAAGTAGACTGCAGTGCCTTTCATGTTCCTTGATTCGTGTTTGGGCATTGCTGCGTTTGGTAGTCCCTATGTAGACTTGTCCACAGCTGCATGTATTTATTTTCATATACAAGAGATATGCTATCTTAAATTGATTAAAAGTATAATCTCTAGAACAAATTATTAAAATCCCCATCTTAAAATCTGTTCTGTTTTGAAATCCTATTAGAGAAAGAAGTCTTTGCCTGATAATGGAAGGACAATAAGGAACAGACCAGTCTGGCTTTCCTAGGAAGATGGTCTTAGAGATTAGGAAAAGCCACCAAGAAGGCATCCTCTCATGTTCCTACCAGAAGTGACTGTATAGGTGGCAGGTTAATAAAAAGATTCTCCAAATGTCTCAGAGCCTAGTCAGTCTTGTATGGGAAAATACCAGACTTTAGTTGGCTTTTAGATAGCTTGGACCCGGCTTACAAAGGGCTTTATACCCCATAACTCGCACTGTAAATTGGGTCTGGAAAGAGATTTCTAGTCAATGGAGTTGCAACAAGGAAGTCATATGTTGTCTGCAACCAGCACACATCAATGATATGGCTCTATCACTTCATGCTGAAAAAAATTGCTGAACATGTCTCAAAGGCAGTCCCAAGTATACACCATTACAATATTCTAAACAAAACAAAATTAGAATAAGAGTATCCCCTAAAGATGACAAATATACACGGGTCTCTTTTACGTTGTGACCAAGGTAACAACATCATCTGCTATAGAACTCCAATATGGTGATGATAATGTAGTCTGTACACATTAATAAGATGACCTACAACAATGCTTCTGAACCTGGAGGTCAGGACCCCTGTGGGGGTCACGAGGGGGTGTCACAGCAGTCGCCAAAGATCATCAGAAAGCACAGTGTTTTCTGTTGGTCAAGGGAGTTCTGTGTGGGAAGTTTGGCCCAATTCTATGTTGGTGGGGTTCAGAATGCTCTTTGATTGTAGGTGAACTATACATCCCAGCAACTACAACTCCCAAATGTCAAGTTCTATTTTCCGGAAACTCCAACAGTGTTCACATTTGGGTCTATTGAGTATTTGTGCCAACTTTGGTTCAGATCCATCACTGTTTGAGTCTACAATGCACTCTGGATGTAGGTGAACTATAACTCTAAAACTCAAGGTCAATGTCCACCAGATCCTTCCAGTATTTTCTGTTGGTCCTGGGAGTTCTGTGTTCCAAGTTTGGTTCAATTCCATCATTGGTGGAGTTCAGAATGCTCTTTGATTGTAGGTAAACCAGAAATCCCAGCTATTTCAACTCCCAAATGGCAAAATCAATCCTCCCTCAGCCCCATCAGTTTTCAAATTTGGGTGTATGGGGTATTTGTGCCAAATTTGGTCCAGTGAATGAAAATACATTCTGCATATCAGATATTTACATTATTAGTCATAACTGTAGCAAAATTACAGTTATGAAGTAACAATGAAAATAATTATACTTCATAACAATGAAACAATGAAAATAATGTTACTTCACAACACAAGGAATTGTATTAAGGGGTCGTGGCATTAGGAAGGTTGAGAAACACTGACCACAAGCCACTCAACACTTTTGCAGAGGCACAAAAGAAGCTTGGCCTCTCATTGAACATCGAGAAAACCAAAGTGCTCTTTCAGCAGGCACTAGCCCATCCCTCTGCAATGCCAGAATTACAGCGTAATGGTGCAACATTAGAAAACGTTGACCATTTCCGCTACCTTGGCAGCCACCTCTCCACCAAAGTCAACATTCAGACTGAAATACCACATGAGCTCTGCGAGTGCAGCATTTTTCCGAATGAAGCAGAGAGTGTGTGAGGATCGGGACATCCATAGGGATACCAAGGTGTTTGTTTATAAAGTAATTGTCTTCCCAAACCTGTTATACGCCTGCAAAACATGGGCCGTTTACACACTCAACTCCTGGAACCATACCATCAGCATTGCCTCCGAAAAATCCTGCAAATCTTTTAGGAAGACAGGCGGGACATCCGTAGGGATATCAAGGTGTTTGTTTATAAAGCTATTGTCCTCCCAACCCTCCTATATGCCTGCGAAACGTGGACTGTCTACAGACATCACATGCAACTCCTGGAACGATTCCATCAGCACTGCCTCCAGAAAATCCTGCAAATTTCTTGGGAAGACAAGTGGGCAAACGTCAGTGTGCTGGAAGAAGCAAAGACCACCAGCATTGAAGCAATGGTCCTCCGCCATCAACTCCGCTGGACTGACCACGTTGTCAGAATGCCCAATCACTGTCTCCTAAAGCAGTAACTATACTCCCAACTCAAGAACAGAAGATGGGGTGTTTGTGGACAGGAAAAGAATTTTAAAGGTGGGCTTAAAGCTAACTTTAAAAACTGTGGCAAAGACATAGAGAACTGGGAAGCCCTGGCCCTTGAACACTCTAACTGGAGGTCAGCTATGACCAGCAGTGCTGTGGAATTTGAAGAGGCTGGAATGGAGGGTGAAAGGGAGAAACATGCCAAGAGGGAGATGCGTCAAGTCAACCCTGACCAGGACTGCCTTCAACCTGGAAACGAATGCTCTCATTGTGAAAGAACATGCAGGTCAAGAATAGGGCTCCACAGTCACCTACATTTCCACCGCCAAGACACTATACTTGAGGGATCACCAAAGTAAAACTAAGTAAGTAATCATAAGCAGCAGCCAGTCTCCAATAGCCAAAATGCTTCAAAAGCTTTATCCTGATGAGAATCTATATATGACCAGTAATGATAACATTATCAGTACTTATACATATCAGTCATACTAGAAAAAGAAGGTATTTCCAAAACTGTAACTGATGCTTAAAAGCACAATGCCTGATTACTCCAAATTATCACATATTTGACCTCCTACAGAAAACCACTAGTCAATTAAATTCAAGTATTTTGCTTCCATACAAACTTTTGTATTTATGTCCTACAGTGCATACATTATAGGTAACTAACTAAACACACACACACAGTTTTTAAATGTGTCACACTGCTGATTTCTCAACTGTATCTCCCTCCACACAACATTTTGAGGAATACATTTAGCATTAGCAAAATCACAGGTTTGAACTAATTGAATATAATTACTTCTTTTCAATAAAGAATATACCCACATCTGGTGTTTTCACGCAATTTTCCTCTTTTGCATTTACTACAAAAGACCTTCCAGCTACTGCACAGGTTTAAAATAGATCCATTAGAGGAAAATTACAAAATAGAAGAATATATTTATACTTTGGTTTAATTTGCCTCTAGAATATGAAACACATTGAGGAAAGAGTATAGTGTTCTATAACACAACATAATTATGCAATAAAATTGCCAAATGTCTTTAAATTTTCCAAATGGTGGAGTCACTGATGTCCAACTTTAAAAACACTTTATTTATTTATTTTTTACAACTACTTATAAGCAATTCATCTGACACAACTCTGAATTATGTGCAAATGATGAAATACAACAAGACAAGCTGAGAAACCAAAGTAGACAAGTATGAGCAGCATAACAAGAGACAGAAGAGCGCAGGCTGAAAATCCCCCAAAAAACTGAATACAAACAAAGATCCAGACAAATAAAAACATTTCACCTGACACAACAATAAAACCAGAAATGGTGCTAACAGTGCATCTTTGGGAAGAGAGTTCAAAAAAGGTTGAAAAGGTCCTGTCTCTAATCACAGTCATGTTACCTGAGATGGTAGCTGGAAATGGAGAAGGTCAGGCAATCCATAAAGTCAAGTAGGTTTTATGGATTTCATCCAAATGACAAATGGCTTCATGGGCTCAGACCACCACTTTGAAAAGTTTCCAGAAAATAAGCAGGAAGCAGTGCTACTATTTCAAAACTGACGTGATAGGACTATATGTCAGCTCCTTATCAGGTATTGTGCTGCCATTTTTACCATTACTTTGTTTTAAGTCAGCGTTTCTCAACCTGGGGTCGGGACCTCTGAGGGGGTCGCAAGGGGGTTTCAGAGCAGTCGACAAAGACCATCAGAAATATATATTTTCTGATGGTCTTAGGAACCCTTTGGCAGAGAAGGCTGAAGATCTCTCCACCTGTCCTTCTCTTCCTTTTTG